TGGTCGAGAACACTTGAGAGAGTTGCAGACTCTGCAAATCAGACAGGAGAAGGAGGTGGCCTTGCCTAAGCGGAGGCCTAAAGGGATAGTGACGTGGTGCATTTATAAACTCAGGATCCGGAGTCGGGTAGAGCTGGGCTCCCATTTCCGAGCTGTGTGACGCTGGAAAAGGTTCCCACTCTCTGGACATAGTTTTCTCATCTATCAAATGAGGATAATACCAAGTATCCCTCTCACAGGGGTGTTGCAAACATTAAATGAGACAAGGCCAGCACAGAGTGAAGCTCACTGCCAGGCTCTGAGTAGGCCCTCGGCAAACGGAAGCCATGTTTACCTTTATTACATGCCATGATAGGGAGTGGTGAGCCTCCCAGTCCCTGAGGTATGTAAGGATGAGGAGGGCCTGGAGAAGCCGGGGTCAAGCTCCAAAGGAGAGATTGTGTCGCTGTAGGGACAAAGGAAGAGACAAGGCAGAAAGATGTGTATGTACAATTTCAGGGGCACATCCAAGTTAGGGGCAGAGAGCCAGACATTGAGTCCTTGGGGGGACATATGAAGACTAAGGGGCCACAAGACACAAGCAGCGCCCACCCTCAGGACTATGCTCAGGCCTGTCCAGCCCACTGGATCCGAGCTGTTGCCCAGGGACCACTCAGCATCACTGAAGCCACGGTCCCCATGGAAAGGGCCCAGGCTTGTCCTGCCCTCGGGCAGCCCACAGGCCCTTCCCTAGGCATTTCTACCAGTTAGAAAGCAAAGCAACTATGTCAAACCAGCACCCTTCCCAACCGTGTTGCCATCTTCCTGGCACCGGCCAGCTGTCCTAGCGTCCATGCCCCACTCTCTGACTGTGGCCCCTCTGTGCCTCAGTGTCCTCATCTAGACCCCAGGGGCCGGGTCACTCAAAGCCCTGGACAGGGACCGCCACCTCCAGCCGTCAGCCCCAGGCCTCTGGGAAGCCTAGTGAGGCCCCCTTGCCCGCATCCCTGGAGTGTGCGGGGACGGTCCTGGGAACCCCCTGCTGAGACCCCACAGGCAGACTCCAGCCGGTCCTGAAAGAAAACAGGCCCAGGTGGGAAGGAGAAGGGGACCACACAGCAGCCAAGACACAGGGCCGCGCAGTGGAGGTCTGCGTGGGCACAGAGGGGGCACCGTCTCAGGAGAAAACATCTGCCCAGTCCCCAGCACCCACACAAGCCTGGCATGTGGCTGGGCCCCTGGAAACACTCAGATGAAGACGCGAAAAGAATCAAAACCTCCCGTGAATGAGTTATGGGCATTCCAAGAGGTCTCCTCATTGGTCCTGCTTGACAGATGGGGAAACTGAGGCCTTGGGATGGGCCCAGAGTCACACAACCAGCTTGTACTAAGCTGGGAGTAGAGCCCCTACCTCCCACTAACCATTGCTCTGCACCCTAAAAAGCACTTTGTGCCCCAGTGCACCTCAACGAGCCAGCCCCCCCCACCAACAGACTAGGGCTTGGCAAGGGCTGGGAGCACATGCCACTCATTCGCATGTGTCCCCAGTGCTCAGGCTGGAGCGCAGCACATAGTAGGTGCTCACAACATGCCTGCTTGCTGAATGAATGGGCCAGACTTTATCCAGAGTGAGAGGAAAACCTGCATTTCCCCCAGCAGTCCTGGGGAAGCAGATCAGACAGACGGAGCTTTGGCCTTGATGGGAAGGCACCCTGGCTGGCGACAGCCTACAGGGGACAGGATCCCTTCACGTCCACGGGCCATGCCCAGCCTTCAGGAGGACTCAGGGTCACAAAGCACATTGTGAAATGGCCAGATGACCTGCCATCCAAGGGTCACTGATCTCACCCTCTCTCTGGCCATTGTCAACAGCAGGTCTACTCTGCCCATTTTTCCGATGGGGAAATTGGGGCCCAGAGAAGGGGGAAGCCCCGCTTAGTCAAACCAGAAGCACTGCCGGCACTGTCCCTCACTTGGAGCCCCTCCAGGGAGACAGTCCGGCCCTCAGGTGCGCAGTGAGCCCCCTCCCACGACTGCAGAGGGGCAGCGGGGGGTGGTGGGCAGGGAGCTTGCTCAGGGGTGGCAGCCTGGCCACAGCCCTTTCTCCAGCCAGGCCAGCAGCCAGCCCCCGCGGACAGCCAACTCTTCCCTGCACTTTCCTGTTCTGAACAAACACACCTCCCGCCCCGAGTGCTCAGTCATTGTGCTTCCTTGCTCGTGACAGAGGCCAGAATGGGTGTGGGGCAACAGCCAGACCAGGGCTGGGGCGCTGGGTGCTACCTCCTCCTCTGGGCTCTGATGCCCCTACCATCGGGACCAAACCCCCGTGCAGGTGGGAAGACTGAGGCCTGAGATCAGAAGGGATGTGCTCACAGCCACAGCGTGGCTCCTCCAACGTAAGTTACAACCTGGATGGTGGTGCTGCCATCAGGAGGGGTGGCCCTGGGGGCAGAGTCAGGGATCTGGGGCTGTAGTGGGGGAGGCCGCTCCAGCCACCTCTCCAGGTGGGCAGGAGGCGTCCAGACTCTGCCTCTAACGCTGCCAGGCAGCTATCACCCCCACCCACGACTCCCCATCACTCGAGGCCCTTTATCAGGCCCAAACTACTATTGCAGCTATTCCATCTCCACCCCATGCCCTCCCCACCCCCAGGATAAACCTTGTCTACAACATCTAAGTCATTTTCCTTCTCCCCATCTATGCACAGCTGTCCCTTCTGCTCAGGGTAAGGACAACAGTTCACATTCAACTGTGGCCCAAGTCCCAGGCAGCACGGGCTTCTCGTTTCCCTCATTTGCCCTCATTTCTTAAACAACCCTGCCATCACTACCCCCATTTACCAGATGAGGCCACTGAGGCTTGGAGAGGTAACTGGCCAAAGGACAGTTTAGTGCAGAACTGGGGGCTTGAACCTGGATCTGACTTAACCAGTCCCTCTGCAGAAGGAAATCCTATCTACTTTGTGAGGTCCAGTCCAAATGTCACCTCCTCCATGAAGGTCTCCCTGATTTCCCCGGTTGTAATTTCTGTTCTGTGACAGCCTCCTCCCCACTCCTCACAGGTTTCAAGTTCCTTCAAGGCTGAGACACAATGCGGGGCCTCTTGCACAGGCAGAGCAGACACACTGATTGTCTTGGCCCATCAGCTGAGCAGAAGGGGAACTTTCGGTCCTCTCTGTGCCTCTGTGGGTGGGGATGGAACCAGGCTGAAGTGAAGAGTGGAGGGAAGAGTCACTCAGGGCACTGAGCAGGGGCAAGATGGGCACAGGAGGACTCAGGGTGGCCCAAGCATTACTGGGCATTTGTACAACCACCGTTTCTCACAGCATGAACCCATTCTCTCATGGAATCCTCCGTGTTCTGCTAGTCCCCTTTTTACAGTTCAAGAAAGTACTGGTAATATGCAGAAAAGGCAAGTGACTTGCCCAAAGTCACAGTGCTTGAACCCAGACTTCTGTCTCCCAGACCAAACCTAGAGGAAGAGACGAGCCAGAAGCCACTTCAAGAAAGGGGAGGGGCCCTGGCCAGTGTGGCTCTGTTGGTTGGGCATCACCCCGCAAAGTGCCCTGGTCAGGGCACAGACCTGCGTTCCGGGTTCGGAGCACATGCAAGAGGGAACTGATTGATGCTTCTGTCACGCAATGTTTCTCTCCCTTCCTCTCTCCTTCCCTTCCCCTCTCTCTAAAAAGGAACAAATTAAATCTATTTTTAAAAGAAGAAGAAGAAAGGCAAGGGTAGGGGTTGGATCACAGGCCCTGAGAGACCCTTGAGGACTGAACTCCCGGCACTCACCTGTACACACCTCCCAGCCTCCACTTGAACCCTTCCAAGCATGGGGAACTCACTACTTCAGGAACTGCCTACTTCCTGAGGAAGCCTGGATATTGTGGCTCAGCCTTGACCACGGGAAAACCCTCCCACATTCTGGGGGGAACCAGTTGAGTATTTGCTGCCCACCTGCTTCATTTATGCTCAAAATGACAAGAATACCAAAGTTCATGGGAAACACTACAGGCTCAGGCTGCACAACCACACCTGGAGGGGTGGGGATTTGACCTCAGATCTGCCAGATTCCAGGCACATATTTGCTCAAACGTGGAGCCAGCTTCCCCATTTCCAAGACAACCTGACGGTGTAAACTCGGCCCAGGTGCCTGCTGGGCGCTACCAACCTTGCTCCTCCCTCCCACTATGGGCACCTCCATGGGTCCGAGCCTTTGCCCAGAACTGGGCCTCCCAGGCAGCTTCTCGGAGCTCCTCCTTCCAGGGGGCCTCCCCCCTCCCTCCCACCCAGCAGTGGAAGGAAGTACACCTCCCCCTACCCCGGCCAGAAGGCAGCCCCCTGCATCACACTCGTTTCCAGCTGAGGATCCTGTTACTGGAAAAAGAAAATGCTGCTTGAACCTCCCCCTCCTCCCCGTCCAGCCTCCAGGGCTTGAAAGAGAGAAAACTCTTTTCAAAGGAGGTGGTGCCCACCCACGGGGAGAGGTCCCAGATAAGTCCTACGAGCCTAGGCTCCTCTGAAAAGGACCCCTGAAGACAGGGTCCCCTGAAGTCCAAGCACCTGTCCCTCCACCCAAGAGGCGGAGGAGCCTGTTACGTCCCTGAGGAGGAGGTGCAGGGGTAGGGGGCTCAGTTGAGAAGCCAGGGCAGTGAAGACGAGGTAAGGTAAAGCCGAGATCCACTCAGCTTTATTGCCCAACTGCTGAGTAAACTGAGGCCCAATGGAGCAGGAGATGGAATCTCAGAGGTGGAAGAAAGAGACCCCGGACTGCAATCTCCCCTTTTCCTGACCGCGGCGTAAAAGGACACACTGTCGCCTCAGTTTCCCCACTGAGGGTGGGGAACCACGGAGCTGCTAGGAAAATGGAGATCAAGCAGACACAGAAATGGGCAACTACAAGGGGCAGAGGAGGGAGTCCCGGGCAAAAAGAAGGATCCAGGGTCCCTGGCATCCCAGGGCATCAGGTGGTGAAGTGGGGGTAGGGAGGGCCTGGGGGTCAGGGATCGGGGTGGCGCCTACCCCTGGCGGGCCGGGTCCGGCTGCGGGAGCGGCTCCTCTGTCGCTGCAGCCGGGGCCGCCGCAGCAGCCGGTAGTAATAGGAGGGCCTCCCGGTGCTCTTCCTGGTACTGCCGCCCGCGGACATGCTGCCGCCCGCCGGGCACCGGGCCGGGCCTGGGCGCGCTCACACGGGCCCCATCACCCGCTCCGGCCGGCCCGGCGGGCGTCCCAGCGTTTCCCCGCGCGCGCTGCCGGTGCGGCCGCCGCCGAGGCCAAGGCTGCCCCACAAAGTCGCTCAAACTCCTCCTCCTGCCCCCGCCCTCCCCGGAGCAGCCGGCCCCGCCGCGGGGGCCAGGGACCGGGGCCGGGCTGGCACCGGCCCGAGAAGTCAGTGCGGGAGAAATCCCGGCCTGGAGTCAGAGAGGCCTGGAGTGCCCCGGGACCCCAGGCAGGTCCGCAGGAGGGTAACCGCCTCCGCGCCCGCGCCTGAGCGACGATGCCCAATCTCGGGGCGCACCAGAAGCCCCATTCCGCCGACCGGTGCACACCTGCCCGCGTGCGCTCCTCGGCGATGGGCGATGGGCGGGGAGCACGCGGGGCAACCAGGCGGGCACTGCATTCTGGAGCCCGGCACCTTAGACGGGGGTCCAAAGGAGGCCCGATTCTGTGACAAGGGCACTAAGTAGGCTGAGCACCGACCGGCAAACACACTATTCCACTGGCCCCAGCTCCAGCCAGGTTAAAAAGACTTTCTGTCACGCAAGATACTTGCCTAGTCTTTACATGATAAGAACTGTCCCGTTTGATACATATTTTATATAATTAAAATTATGGTGTACGTTCCCAACACACAAAGAGGAGAGCAAACATAATGGACACCTGTACATCCAGCGGGGTTTGGCCAAATCTGGACATTTTGCTCCCTTTCATCCAGCCCCACCCCAAATAAAACCCCACAGGTGCTGCGAAGCCTCCTCCCGCGGGGCACGTCCAGCAGCGCTGGCCCGGCTGTGGGCACGGCAGAACAACCCCGGCCCCACCACAGGGAGGAAAAACCGAGGCTGGGAGAAGGGAGGGTGCCAACCAGCTCTACTGCAGCCCACTAAAAAAGCTTCCTCCACATCACTCACTCCCCAGCTCGAGAACTTTCCATGGCTCCCCAGTGCCCCAAAGCAACGAGTCCAAACAACCTCCCTTGGTATTTGAGGTTCCAACTCTCTGGTCCCAACCAAGCCACCCCCGAGCCCTCACTGCCATTCCCCTACTGCTCACTCTTCTTTGCCCTACTCCCGGGACGGCTGCCCTCCCACCTCCTTTGGCCAAAGTCTGCCTTCTAGGGCCCAGCTCCTCTAGCCTTCCCGCACTACCCTGGCCCCTGGCGGTCCCTTTCTCTCTCTACAGCTCTCCCTAGTCCACACAGCAGCATTTGCCTTTTAAGTTTTTCTGACAACCACTTGCCTGAGCCCGATCCTCTCAAGCACAGAAAGGGAAACTGAGGCCCCAACAGAAAGGTTTGACATGCCTCAGTCACCGAGAAAGTTAACAAATGCAAGGGGTCTTGGCCTGGGGGTCCCAACGCACAGTCTCAGGAGTGTGTTTGTGGGAGAGTCACACTTGGGTGCCTAAGGCAGTCTGTCCATCCTCCTCCAGAACAACTGAAAAGGTAGGGCACTGGAGGGGGCGGGGCAGTCTGGGCAGGAATCCAGGCCGGGTTTTGCACCTCACAAGGGTAGCCCCCTCCCTCACTCCCTCAGCCAGGGGGGAGGGCCCCCTGTCCGGAGCAGCCTGGAACGCAGCTGGAAGCCAGGCGCCTTCCCAGACCCCGGGGGGAGGGGCAGAAGGGTATTGCTCCTCCGAACCCAGCCGGGGGGACCCAAAGCTACCGCTCCCCTGGCTCCTCTCCCTGGAGTACAGGTCAACCCCTCAGGAAGACAGGAAACCATAGGACCGACAACCCATTAGTCCCCTTTGGGTTAAGCCAGCGATTTTCAACCGGTGCGCTGCAATACCTGACTGTTTAGTCAGGGGTCCTGACCGCTTTTCCCTGAGGTGGTCAAGTGAAAAAAGTGACAGCAGCCAACACAACAGGAGCCATCCGGTGTGAATGAATGAAAAGTATACCTTTCTTTTTTCTTTTTTTTTTTTTTTTTTGGTCAGATCAAAAAAATATATGTCCTTTGGTGTCCTGCAGAACTTTTGTAATTAGTTTACCTGTGCTATGAGATGAAAAAGGCGGAAAAATCACTGGGTTAAGCATTGCTCTGGCCTATTCTCCATAGTAGGTATTTCCAGGAGCATCTTTTACAGGTGCAGAGGGAAGAGCTGGACCCAGCCCCTCAGTCCAGAGGCAAGTAGTGGGTCTTTACAACACGCAGCTTCCTCCCCAACCCTGCACTTCCCTGCCCAGGTGAGGCTCCCGCAGCAGCCTGCCCGCCCTTGCCCTTGGTGCTTCCAGGAGTGAGTGACCTCCCCTGCCAGGTCCCCCAGGGTGGAGGATTCCCAGGAAGTCTTCATCAGTGCGGGGGCGACAAGCCTCTCTTCCTATGGCCTGGAGTTCAGCTGGACTAGTTTCCTTCCCAAAGCAGGAACTTCCCATCTGCCCGGTTCTAGCCTTCCTGCCAGCTGACCGAACAGTGACTGGAGCAGTGTTCCCGGCTTAGGGCCCCCAACAAGCAGATTTAGGTATGTGGGTGTGCAGGGAGCGGGAACAGAGTCAGGAACTCAAGGTCTCACCTGTAAATGCAATTAGGCTCTAAAAGCCTGGTATGGTCTCTCTGCTGACACTTGGGTTTCTCATGTCCTCAGTTTCCCTCAGTTGCCCTCTAGGAGAAGCTATGGACTCCCAATCTATCTATCTGCCTTGTGGAGGGAGGAGGGTCAGCAAATGAGGAGGAAGAAGCGTCTGCATCCTAGGCCTTGGGAGTGGGTGGGTATCGCCAAGCACCCAAGCTGGACACCTCCACATGGTGGGTACTAAGGAGGTACCAGTTGTGGTCTGAGCAGGAAGGGGGCAGGGCAGGAGCTAGGAGAGAGGGGCCTCGGCTCCCTGCCCCTCCGCCTGGCCCAGGACCCCCCGGGGTGGGCAGGCAGACAAAGGCTGCTCCCTGCAAGCCCAACAGAGCATCTGGAATCAATCCTGCTGTGGAACAAGCCACCCACCCCCTCCCGCTGCCCCTGTGGCCTCTCCTCCCTTTAAACAGAAGCAGGCCACCATCTGGAGAATGCCTAGACTAGAGGGGGGCCACCTGAGAATGGCCCTACCACCGCCACCTCCGCTTCTGCTACGCACCCCTCGCAGGGCCTGCTGATCTCTGAGCCCCTGGGCCCCAGGACTGACACAGTCTGTTAGTGTCTGGCCCTCAGAGGGTTCTGTGACAGGCCCAGCTCCCATCTCCCCCATGTGCTGCTTTGTTGGGGGGTGGGGGTCAAGGTTGTAGCCTCCATACCCCTGAGCCTCCAAATCACCCCTGCTCATTACAAGTGCACATTTCTGGGGCTCCCCCAAAACTCTTGATTCAGTGGGTGTGGGTGGGGCCTGGAATTGCTCCAGAGCCTCCAAAGGAGAACTTCCACAGTCCCCAAAAGGACCTCGTTCAGTCACAGGACGTTCGTCTCCGCTTGCACCCCCACCCACCCACCCAAACTGTCTGCTCGCAGCCTCCGAAGGCTCCACACTCATTCCCACCTCTGGCCTTTGCCCTGTCGGTCCAGTGGCTGCCAAGAAGCTCTCCCCTCTGCACGCATCTGGCGAAAGCCTCCATATCCCTCAGGACCCAGCTCAAAAGTCTGGTTATTAAAGAAGTCTGAACCCCAACAAGAGAAACTCCCCTACCCTGCCACACTCCACCAGACACAGGAGAAGATCGGGGAGGGACGGGCCCACAGAATTTCCCTCTGGACAGAGACCCATCAGCATCTGGGAGTCTAGAGGAGAATTACACCCTGCTGGGAAGGAGGTGGCGGGTGGCCTGAGAGCAGGGCTGGAAGTCCAGGTAAACCGCGGGCCAGGCCAGGGCTGGGTCAGGAGGGGCACTTGACGCAGGGTGGGGGCCAGCCCCGTGCCATCACACATCTTACGGCGGGGGGGGGGGGGGGGGGGCGGTGTCAGGCGGCAGTGAGGAAGGAGCAAAAAGCCTACTGTCAGAATTGCCTTTGAAAAGTCTTCAATTGCCCAGAGAAGGACAGTTTTTCCTCCACTGGACAGATCGCCCATTTCTCCAACCGAGTGCAAAGCAGATTGGGGCCTGGCCTTTCGTGGGGGGCCCTTTTGTGCAGGAGGAAAACTAGAGCAACAAGCACCAGTTATCTAACACCAGACACCCCCAGGGAGGAGGGCTGCTCGCACCTGGAGACGGCCACAGACGCCCAGGACTGCTAGCGTACGAAGGTTACAGGTTTGCCCTGGGAAGGTGCGTCTGAATTTAATACTAACAAACCTTACTCAGCCTTTACTGTGTGACAGACCCTGTCCGCAGCATTTTATAAAGGTTCTCTCATTTAATTCACAACAATCCTATGTGGCGGATGGTGACCATGTCCATTTTACAGAAAATATGCCCAGGCACAGAGAAGGTCAGTAACTTCCCTCAGGTCACACAGCTTGTACTAAGAGTCAAGAAGTGAACCCAGGCAGGCTGGAAAGAGCAAACATCTTAAGGTTGAACAGGACTTAATACAGAGATGGCAGAGGGGCAACAGCCTGGAACTTTCCTTAAAGAACAGCTTTGACAAGGAACAGGAGGAGGTGAAGAGGGACCAAAGTCCTAAAAAGGGAAACCTTGGAGCCCACACCAGGCCCTACACAATGGGTGTCTGGAGGACTCAGACCTGTCAGGTTTCCTGTCAGGACGAGGTGGGCAGTGGAGTTCAGGGGAAGTCCCTGGCCAGGCAGCCCCGCACACATCCGCCTCCCGGGCAGGGCTCAGCCTTGCAGTCACTGGAGCCCTGGGCCAGGGGCTGGGTGGCGATGCTGTGGGATCGTTCCTGGTTAAGATCATGGGCCACTGCCCAGGGAGGTGGCCCGTCTGGCAGGCAATGGCAGCTTCCTGAGTCCACCGTTCATCCGGGAACGAGCCTGGACCGGGAGTAAGACCTTCATGCAGGAAACGGGGGAGGCTGGAGCGGGGACTCACCTCACAGAGCGGAAGATGCAGACAAGCCCTGGGAGGTCATACTCAAGGCCCGGCCAGGCATCCACGGCTTCCACTGCCCCACCCCCACCCCCTAGGGACTTCCTCTTTAAAGCCACCAATGAATTTAATGACATCCTTCGAAGAAAATGACCCAG